GGGAATGCACACTAGTTGCAACCTCTTTGGAAGACAGTGTGGTGATTTCTGAAAGAACTAGAACTTGACCTTCCATATGACCCAGCAATTCCCCTACTGGGAATATACCCGGAGGAACTCAAATCATTCTACAAAAAAGATATCTGCACATGTATGTTTGTTGCAGCTCTATTCACAATAGCAAAAACATGGAACCAACCATGTTGCCCATCAAAACTGGACTGGATAGAGAAAATGTGGTACATATGCACAATGGACTATTATGCAGCCATAAAGAAGGACAAATATATGGACTTCGCAGCAACTTGGATGGATTTGGAGTCGATCATACTCCAAACAGAAAGAAAGAACAGAGTACCATATGTTCTTACTCATAAGTGGACCTTGAACAATTATAATACTATAAGAAAGTGTTTGGCAGTAATGGGAAACTGTCAGGGGAGGGGGGTGGAATTGGCAGTTGAGGGAAACTGCTAGGGGAGGGAGGGGCATACCTCGTCAAGGGTACCTGCATAAAGATCTGATGCTATTTCAGTCTCAGATAAATGAGATCTATGATGGTCAGAGATTCAGGTGAGTGGTTAGAAAGGAGTATTTGGCGATCAGGGATATGTGATTCATGAGATTCAGGGATTCCCAGCATTAGTCACTGTGAAACACTGGGGGATTCTGAGGATTGTTGATTGTAGCTTGTGATCAAACGTAAGTAGTAGCCTTTAAAATTCATTGTACAGTGAGGGGAGGGTCAGTTACTGTGTCAGGAGATAGTAATTCAGAACCCATTAAGATGAGTAACTGGTTACATGAAGAAGAGTCATTGAAAAACAGAAAATGTAACTTCCCGTTATACCTCAGGGTGTTCCCCAGCACAGACATACCCTACAAAAATTAAAACAAAACAGCAAACCTTGGGGTAGGGAGATAATCTGAATGTCTAATTTACAACAAAAAGGTCAGAAGGCAAAAAAGTAACAGGAAAGTATAGTCCGTTCAAAGGGGAAAACAAAACAAAAACAACAGAAACTGTCCTTTGAGAAATACCAGGTAGTGGATTTCTTAGAGAAAGACACCTGTCTTAAAGATGTTCTAAGAGCTAAAATAAGATGTGGACAAAGTCGAGAAAAGAATGCATGAACAAAATACATGGGTCAATGAAGAGACAGAAAACATAAAAAGGAAACAACAAAAAAATGAACCAGAGAAGTATAATAACTGAAATGACACATTCACTGGAATAGTTCAAAAGCATATTTGAGCAAGCAGAAGAAATAACCAGTAAAACAAATAGAGCAATGAAATGACCAAGTTTAAGGAACAGAAAGAAAAAAGATTGAGTCTCTTTAACAAATACAGAACTTTATTTTGATCTTTGATTACAAGCATGAGTCACCACACCAGGCCCTTTTTTGTTTTCTATCTTTAAAATTTCTGTGTATCTCAAAGTACAATTAATTTATATTTGCTAGTAGAAACATACTTTTAGCTATATTGTTTAGATCTAAAATTTATTTTGAATAAGTCTCAGTTATGGTGTAAAGATCAAGATGCATTAAAAATATCTGAATATTCAGTTATTTTAGCACTATATTTGAAAACAATCATCCTTTTTCCAACAAATTTCCCTGAAACATTGTGTCAAAAAATCAATTAATGACACTCAGTTACAGCTCAGAGAAGTAGAGAGCAGGAAGGGGCACTGATTCTATCCACAAAACACAAAACGAGTCGAACTCGGTGGCTCAGCCTGTCATCCTGTGCTTTGGGAGGCCGAGGTGAGTGGATTGCCTGAGCCCATGGATTCGAGACCCGCCTGGGCAACTTGGTGAGACCTCATCTCTACAATAAATCAAAAAATTAGCCGGGCGTGGTAGCACGCACCTGTAGTTCCAGCTACTTGGAAGGCTGAGGTGGAAGGATCGCCTGAGCCCAGCAGGCCGAGGCTGCGGTGGCCGGAAGCGTGCCACTGCACTCCAGTCTGGGCGACAGAGTGAGACTCCAATTCAAGCAAAAACAAAAACAAAATAACAAAAAATGAAATGAGAAGACTTTAACAACTTTTCTTGGTTGCATCAGATATCTGAGGTCACAGGGCAGTAAACTAACTGAAACTCTGGAAAGCTGCATGGCTTCAGAGCAAAATAAAAATCCAAGTAGTCATTTAACTGAGACAGAGAATGCCAAACACCACATAAAATTACTCTAATGGAAAAGTTACATAACATGCGAGATCAGATAGGTAATTCTGACAGAGATGGAAACTATAATAAAATTTAAATCCTGTGAGTAAAAAACAGTACCATAAACGAAGAATGCCTTCCAAAGACCCACAGAATACTCAGCGTTGCCTAGGAATCAGTGATGTTGAAGATTCATATATCTGCAAGAGTATCTGTGTGTGAAATGTACCAGTGACCTTGAGATAATACATAAGTGTATAGAAAATACTGTCTGGCTTCTTTGAAAAGAGGTAGTTTGTAACAACAGCCTTTTCCATATACACACGTCAGAAGACAGCAGGGAATGCGGTATGGCACTCTGAACTTTTAGGTATTTTTTGTAGCAGATTTATTTATAATTAATATATGTGTGGCAAATTGTAGCTGATGTCAGAATAGTTACTAAAAAAGGGTACATATCCTGTTACAATGATGTTGAGTTTCAATACACATCATATAGAACAAATACCACTAAGTGACAAGCACACATTTGTATCCACATAGGCAAACAACTTCAAAAACATTCACATACTTTCAATGCTGCTGTCCTGTTTATGCAATTTATTTCTTGTTCTTTTAAAGCTTATTTTAGTGTCTATTAATCAATATTGTCCTATGTCATTAAAGATTTTGAAATGACATGAAACAATAGTTCTGATATAAAAATACCTAGGTAAAGGCTGTTACTTACCTTTCTCAAGTGGACAGGTTTTCCCTTTGTATACAACTTTGATAATAAAGTGTGATAATTTGTTGAAAACTTTCACATATTTAAAACTCAATTATCATTTATTGAGATTTTTTTTCTTCGGTGAAGAATTTCCTACATGTGTTAAAATGTTTGATTTCTTTCCCTTATATTACCCGACTGATGAGGAATAAAAGCTATGGTCATTCAGGTTACTGTCAGAGGTTTCTCCTGTGTGACTTTTCTGACGTACACTGAGTTCAGATGTCTTCAAAAACCATATCCACAGGTTTTATTGTCTGAGGGTTCGTGAGCATGTCAGTATCAAGTATACGCAAGCGAAGTTCTGCAAGAAGTTCATTTCCCTGCTGCAAAAAGTCCAACTGTGTAAGTGGAGAATACTTCATTCCACAGGGTCATTCTTTGACCTCTGTTCCTGTCAGCTTACCCTCTTCCTTTGTCAGTGTCTGAGACCCAAGGTTTCCTTCCATTCCATTCTGATGAGGGCCAGAAGACAATACTGAGAATTTGAGTGATGTATTTAATGAGACTTGTCACTGGCCTCCAGATTCCACTAACTAGAGGTTACCAACATGACCCCATTTAGATGACAGAGTGGTTGAGAAATTTAGGCTGTTTGTGAAATGAGGGGAAAGGGAAAATGACTATTGGTGAACTGTCTCATAGTCATGTGACACGTAGGGATTGCCTCTAAGTTACACTGAGGGCTGACTTATGGTAGGATTTCCCACATCCACCACCTTCATTTCCTGTCTGTTTTGATGGAGTATGAAGTCTCTCTACCTTCTGTGTATTTTCTGCTACACTGAGAAAGCTGGCCACACATTTATTACATTCTAGGTTTTCTCATTATGTGATGTCTCTGATGATGGATGAGTTCTGAATGCTGACAAATTTTCACGTTTTTATTATCCTCAGAACTTTTCTGAAGCACTAAGTTCACAGAGCATTTCCCACATTCACTATCTTCATAGGGTTTCTTTGTTGGGTGAGATCTCTGATACCCATAAGGACTGCACTCTGGCTGAAAGACTGTCCATATACAATGTATTTTAAGAATTTCTCTCCTGAGTAGGTCCTTTGGTGTCGGATGAAGGCTGAAGTTATGCAGAGGAAAGCTCCAGTGTTCACTACATTCATAGTTCTCTCTTGTGTGTTTCCACATGTTGTGAGGTTTGATTTCCAGTTCCAAGTTTTCTCACATTCTTTAATCCCCCGGGTGAGCTTTCTGATGTTCTCTGAGGCTTGATTTCTGACTGAAAGTTTTCCCACATTTATTACATTTATAGGGTTTCTCCCCTGTATGAGTTCTCTGGTGTACTCTGAGGTTTGATTTCTGACTGAAAGCTTCCCCACACTGATTACAATTATAGGGTTTCTCCCCTGTGTGAGTTCGCTGATGTTTTCTTAGGACTGACTTCTCACTGAAGGCTTTTCCACATTCATTACATTCATAGGGCTTCTCCCCGGTGTGAGTTCTCTGATGCCCTCGGAGATTTGATTTCTGTCTGAAAGTTTTTCCACACTCATCACATTTATAAGGTCTCTCCCCAGTATGAGTTCTGTGATGAACTCTGAGGTTTGACTTCTGACTGAAAGCTTCCCCACAATGATTACATTTATAGGGTTTCTCCCCTGTGTGAATTCTATGATGTCCTCTGAGTTGTGATTTCTGACCAAAAGCTTTTCCACACTGATGACACTTGTAGGGCTTCTCCCCTGTATGTGTTCTATGATGTTTTCTCAGGCCTGATTTCAGTTTGAAAGCTTTCCCACATTCACCACACTTATATGGTCTTTCGCCCGTGTGAGTTCTCCGATGATTTCTTAGGCCTGACATATGACTGAAAGATTTCCCACATTCATTACATTCAAAGGGTTTCTCCCCTGTGTGTGTTCTCTGATGCACTATGAGGATTGACTTATAGTTGAAAGACTTCCCACATTCATTGCATTCAAAGGGTTTCTCCCCTGTGTGGGTTCTCTGATGTATTCTTAGGCCTGACTTTGCACTGAAAGCTTTCTCACATCCATCACATTTATATGGTTTCTCTCCTGTGTGAGTTCTCTGATGTTTTCTTAGGCGTGACTTCTCACTAAAAGCTTTCCCACATTCATGACATTCATAGGGTTTCTCCCCAGTGTGACTTTTCTGAGGCTGAATCAAATGTGAGTTCATAGCGCAGGATTTTCCACACTCATTACACTCATGGGGTTTTACCCTTACGTGGGTTCTCTGATGTACGCAGAAAGTTGACTGGTAGCTAAATGTCTCTGTACATGTGTTATGATCAGAAGATTTATTTGTTGCGTGAGTTCTATGAGGCACTGGGAGGACTGAATTGTGGCTGAAAATTTTTCCATATTCTAAGGGTTTCACCCCTACATGAATTCTCTGATGTTCCCTAATGTGTGATTTTTGGCTGAAAGATTTCCCTCCTGTGTCAGTTTTTTGAGTGATCCTACTGAAACAATTTTCATTTTCATTAAACTCATAGTGACTCTGCTTCTCTGGATGGATGTTCTGAGACACAATAAAGGGTGATTTACCATTTTGGTTTTCCCCAAATTTATTGACTTTGTAAGACTTCACATTTGGATGGGCACTCTTAGATACGAGGGCAGCCTTTTGATGGAAAGCTTTTCTACTTTCATTACATTCAAAAGCTCGTCCCAAAGTCTGAACTGTCTGGTGTTGAATAACTTCCTCCTTATGACTGAGTGCCTTCACATCTTTACTGTAAACAAAATATTTCTCTTGAGTATTAGTTCTGTCATTCATATTGAGGAGCCATTTTTCACATACATTGCACTCATGAGCCTTTTCTTTTGAATGCTGGCAGTGTGGTGCCAATGGACTGTGACCCATGTAAGCAGTGTCACATTCACAGGGTATCATTCTTGCAGGAAAAATGCTTATGTCCAGATTATACAGTTTTCCTGAAATTTCTTGCTGTGTTGTCAATGATTTATTGGTGAATAAAACTTGCCACAAATGTTTGCCTTGGTTTTCTGGGCTCTTCTCTGAGATGTCATCAGGTTGGGAGACTTCTAAAAATTATAAAAATATTTTATGATATTTAAAACACTTCTCATGCCATGGAACTTATATACATACATATGCCTAATTACATATTTGATTCCTCAGTTCCTGGCTCAGTTTGCCAACAATAAAGTAATTCCACATGCATGATCCTTTTATTCCTTTAAAAAATTGTTTTTGTAGTGGAGAGAGTGGAAAATAGAAATGAATATACATATGTATTTGGCATCTTAAATACAATTTCCAAAGCCAAAGAGAGAAAAGGATATAAAGGAAAGGAACTGAGAATGGCATATATTTAAGATAGCTGGACACTGGAAAAAGAAAATCAGAGATTGGGATAAATTTAAAAGATGATACAAACTAAGTAGATAACAATAAGAACAAAATCAGTGGTTTTATCTGAGATAGAATTTACAATAGGGAGTAACACTAGGCTAGATTCTTAGTCAAATATAGATTACAATGATAGGGTAATCACTAGCCTACATGATTGCAATTGAAGCTTTGTTTACGCTCTACACATCAACACCAACATAAATTTATAATGGCACCAATTTCTTCATGTCAAAAGGAATAATTCTGTAGGCTGCATTTTAATTCTCCCTCTAGTATCATCATAGGAACACAAATATCTAAGTGGAAGTGTAAAAGTAATGGGAGTTGGAGCCATTTTCCCACCTAGATTGAATTTACTGCTCTGCCCTGGCTCTGGTGACTGGTTTGTTATATCAGGGTTGTTCAGCAGTGAATCTCTCTACACCATTGAATCTTTTCTCCTTTCAATTTGCTTGCTCATTTCCCCCAAATCAGGCTTGTCTTTGTCTAATTCTTAATTCTGCTTTCCATCTACTTTTTAACATTGCTAGTTTGTACTGACTGTGAGAATCATATGTTTCAACCTGGTTTTAAAACTGTCAAGTATCCCTTACTTTTATTTATCACAAAGTTCTTGTGTACATTTGAATGCTGTAGCCCTGCTGCTGCCGATATTCCATGGCAAAAATGTCAGGCCTATGCTAAAAATATTCCAAGGCTTTGCACACACTGCCCTAGATTACCCACAGATAAAAGATTTAAGAGAAATGGTTCAGGAAAATAAAGTTTTACATTAACTGCATACTCACCACATGTTCTCACTCCCATTCTACCAGCCCACAGTATTTTCTGCTCTAGTCTTGACAGGATATCAGTAACACAAAATAGTTCATTTCTAGCATACATCTTATATTTACATTCTTTCCCCAAATCACCCTGCATTCCAGCCTTAGAACTAGGAAGACTCAAGATGCCCTTCAGGCAATGCAAAACTATTTTCTAAAACACACACACACAAAGGCTTATATCTTCCCACAAATTTAAGAAACATTTAAAATCTGAAAGTAGTTACTGTTTGTAGCATTTATTTTAACAAGGTATATGTGGTGAATACTCATATATCTGACACACAATCTTTAAGCAAATTACTGTCACTGCCATCTTAAAACTGATGACAAGTGTGTACTTAAAAGGGCATTTTCTCTTTCTTGATTGTATGAAAAATTATGGTTCCCCTTGTAATCAACAGCACTTTATAGGATACAAAATATATCTTATACAACTTTCTTCTCCTTTCCAAAATACAACCCTCATTCTGATATACTTTGCCCCTCTGTAATATAAATTAAGTCGGTGGCCCTTAAAAATTGCCCAGAGAGTTATTTCATAAGGGCTCAGACCCAATGCCAACCCATAATTAATGAGTCAAAAGTGCTATAAATTTGACTTGGGCGTTTATATTTAGAGATAGTGTTTTTATTGTTGGGTTTGTTTTTGGTTTTTGTTTTTTTTTAGTTGGGGTCTCACTCTGTTGCCCATGCTGGGATGCAGTGAAACAATCATGGCAAACTGCAGCCTCGGCTTCCTGGGTTCAGGGTTTAGCTGGGGCTAAAGGTGTACACCACAATGCCCAGCTAACTTTTAACACTTTTTTTTGTAAAGACGAGGTCTCACTATGTTGCCTAGGCTGGTGTCAAGCTCCTGAGTTCAAGCAATTCTCTCACCTCGGCGTCCCAAAGTACTGGAATTAAAAGTGTGAGCTCCTGCATCCAGCCAGATATAGTGTTTTTTGAATGAATCTCTATGAAGTACCTCTCCTGACTAGTTCTAGAGTTAATACACAATGTTATTAAAAAAAAACAAACACTTATGTGTTACATTCCATGGACTAACATAGAAAAGAGAACAGAGACCATTCATTGTTTTTGGTGGATGACAATCCAGGTGGCAAATGGAGCTCATTCTATAACTTGTATGCTCTCTGGCACAGTCTCATTCTTTTGACACATCTATCAGGTAGGTTGTGAGTTTACAAAAGAAAGAGATAAAGTATAGGCTAAAGTATTCAAAGATTATACTATAGGATTAGGAATTTGAGCCAAAATTTAAAATAATAGTGCTTCCTCATTTTTTTAAGGTTGGGTTAGCTATTTTTTTATTCCAAGAATCACTTTTTGACTTTAGAATTTATGCCATTATTTTTTTTTACCTTTAGTACATATTTTGTTTTGCTTAGTTTTCTTTTAATATTTTCTTGCTTTTTAAAAAAAACATATGACTAAAAATTTTTTTCTAAGCACTGCTTTGCCTGTAGCCCAAAGGTTCTTTTTTTTTTGAGTTGGAGTCTCACTGTCACCCAGACTGGCGTGCAGCGGCATGCTCCCGGCCACTGCAGCCTTAACCTGCTGGGCTCTGGCGATCCTTCTTCCTCAGCCTTCCAAGTAGCTGGAACTATAGGTGCACGCTACCATGCTCAGCTAATTTTTGATTTATTGTAGAGACAAGGTCTTGCCAAGTTGCCCAGATGGGTCTCGAACCTGTGGGTTCAGGCAATTCACTCACTTCAGCCTCCCAAAGCACTGGGGTTACAGACTGAGCCATCAAGCCCAGCCAGCCCAAAGGTTCTAATATGTATGTTTTTCACTTTTAAAATTATCTGGATATTGGATCATTTTTTATTATGATTTAATATGTTTTTAAAGATATATATTTACTATTAATTTCAAGATAGATTTTACTTTTCATATTGTTTGTAATTTAGTTTTATTGAATGATAGTATCTCTACTTTGTGGAATTTATTGACATTTGCCTAAAATACTTTTACATTTTGTCAGTGTTCCAAGATCATTTTTAAAGAAAGTTTAGTTTTTGTTTTCAGATAGTTATGAAAGATACATGATATTTATTTTACAAAACATGTATTTATAACTTGGAGAGCAGGGGTTAGTAACCTTTTTCTGTAAAGGCCAGAGGGTAAATGTTTTAGCCTGTTCTCATCATGTGGTCTCTGTTGCAAGTCCTCAACTCTGCCTTGTAGCATGAACACATGAATTAATGGATATGTCTGTGTTCCAGTAACTCTTTCCTTACCAAAACAGGCAGCAGGTAGAATTTGACCTGAGGGCTGTAATTTGCTGAGCAGTATTCTAAGTCTCAGTTGCTGACCACTGGCTCTGGTATAAAATCACACAGGGAAATTAAAATCTACTCTATTGTTTCTATTTTCTCCTTAGAATACTTGCAGTTTTTTGTTTTATGAAAGTTGATGATAATTTGGTGCAGATATTCAACACTTATAAATATTTTAAATTTGTCTATTTTAAAAATGTCATCTTAAAATTGTCTACTTCAGCATTAAAAATATCCCTTTTCTCATCTGTTTATTGACCCAAATTGAACCTTAAGTATTAGTTAGATAATTAAACACTAACTTATTTTTTATTTATTGCCTTAGCAACCTATAACTGTATTTTGAACTTCCCAAGTTAGTTTTTAAATACAACTCTTTGATAACATCTGATAGCATTTTCCTCTTCTTCTTTTTTTTTTTTTTTAGTTGGGATCTCACTTTGTCATCCAGGCTAGAGTGTAGTGGCAGGATCACAGTTCACTGCAGCTTCGATTTCCTGAGGTCAGGAGACGCTTCCACCTTAGCCTCCTGAGTTAGCTGGGGCTACAGGTACCTGTCACTATGTCTGGTTTATTTTTTAATTTTTCTTGTAGAGATGAGTTATAGCTATATTACCCAGGTTGGTCTCAAACTCCTGGACCGAAGCAATCTTCCAATCTTGTCCTCCAAAAGTGCTGGGAATACAAGCGTGAGCTACCGTACCCAATGCATTTTCTCTTAGCAGGTGAATTTAATCCATTTACATTAGCTGACACAGCAAATACACTGGTCTTATTATATTATCATGAGTTGGGTTTGTATAGCTTTTGTGCAGACAAGAGTTGATACAGCAGACCTAAGACGGCTACCCTTAGAAAGTCTTGCTTGCAAGGTTCCCTTTTGGCTGGCATCTAGGAACTGAGATTTCAGGAGGGTTCCCAAGATTCCCAGAACTGCTAAGACAGGCTCACTGTTCCAAAATTATTCATACAAACAATATGATATGATGAACATTTGCTTTCTATCTGAAGTCTGGAACTTTGGTGCAGAGAAGACACAAGGAGCCTACATGAGTAGTCTGTAATAAAAACCTTGGGCATGCAGTATCTAACGAACTCCCGGGTAGACAACATCTCACTCACACTATCACAATTCATTGCTCACAAACTCTTGGACACTTGCCCTGGGGCTTCACCCCATGCATCTCTCCCATTTGCTGATTTTGCCCTGTATCCTTTCACCGTATACATTTTAGCTATGACTATGACGATATGCAGTCATGTGAGTCCTTCTAGTGAGTCAGTGAACCTTCTGCCAGTATTCAATAACTCACCTGGGGAATGCCTGCTTAGAAGTTCTTTTTCTTTTTGCAACGACCATGGGTCTTCTCCTTGTTCCAATGTGAAGATCAATTTTGGTTTCGTAAAGCAGTAGCCTGTAATTGGAAAATAATTCAGGACTTGAGTTACTTGCACGGGTTTTACAGTTCTTGGATGTGAAGGAAAGTGCAGCTTTAGAAGGAGCACATTAAGGGTGACAAGAAAAACATTTTCCTATGCTCATAAATGATCAATTTCCTTGAACCTCTCAAGTGTAAGACTAAATAACATTACATTTCCAGCTGGGCTCGGTGGCTCAGCCTGTAATCCCAAAATTTTGGGAGGCTGAGGTGAGTGGATTGCCTGAGCCTACGTGTTTGAGGCTGGCCTGGGCAACTTGGTGAGACCTCATCTCTACAACAAATAAAAAAATTAGCCAGGTGTGGTAGTGCATGCCTGTAGATCCAGTTACTTGGAAGGCTGAGGTAGAAGGATCGTCTGAACCCAGCAGATAGACGCTGGGGTGGCTGTGAGTGTGCCGTTGCACTCCAGCCTAGTGGCAGAGTGAGACTTCAACTCAAAAAAAAAATTCCATCTGAGTGTTGCTTTCACTACATCCCATAAGGTCTAGTGTGTTGTATTTTTATTTCTCTAAAGGTATTTTCTAATTTCCCTCATGATTTCTTCTTCGACCCATTGGTTGTTTAAAATGTTGTTTATTTTGCACATATTTGTGAATTTCCAGTTTTCTGTTATTCATTTTGCTTCATTAATTATGATTGCAAAAGATACGTTGTATAATTTTAATTTTCTTAAATTTATTAAGGTTTGTTTTGTGGTCTAACATATGGTCTGTCATGGAGAATAAAACGTGCACTTGAGAAAAATGTGTATTCTGTGGTGGTTGAGTAAAGTCTTCTGTTTATGACTGTTGGGTTTAATTGGTTTGCAGTTTTGTTCAAGTCTTCTATTTCCTAATGACTTTCTCCCTGGTTATTCTATCCATTAATGAATGGGGGTATTAAAGTATCCAACCATTATTGTAAAACTGTCATCATTTCTTCAAATAACACTCTCTTCTGTCTTTCTGTTCTCTTTGGAACTCTCATTTTGTGTGTGTGTGTGTGTGTGTGTGTGTGTGTGTATCTTTGACGATACACCATAATCTTAGGCTCCGTTTACTTCAATCTTTTTGCTTTCTGTTTCACAGACTTGATGACTTCAATTGTCCCGTCTTAAAGTTCACTTGTTCTGCCCGCTCAAATCTGCTGTTGAGCCCTTCTAGCAAATTTTTCATTTCAGATATTGTACTTTCCAACTCCAGAATTTATTTGGTTCCTTTTTATAATTTGTCTCTTTATTGTTATTCTAATGTTAATCATACATTAGTTTGTCCATTAGCTCTTTTTTCATGCATTCTCTTAGCTTTTTTGATGATTTTTAAGTTATTTTAATGTTTTTGTTTAGTAAGTCTGATACCTGGCTTCCTCAGAGACAGTTTCTGTCAATGTATTCTGTTCCTTTGAATTAACCATATTTTCTTGTTTCTTTGAATAGTATGCTTGATGATTATGTGATAGCAGTAGAATTCAGTTTCCCCCGGATTACACAAGTTTGCTGCCTTTATTCTTTGATTGTTGAATGTTGTTGTCTAAAACATTTATAAACCATTTTTGCAAAGACAATTCTTGACGTACTGTTGTGATTACTAAAGTCTCTGTTCCTTTAGTTCACATTCAGCTAATGTTTTGACACACATTTCCTTCCATGCTGGGAGCTAAATAAACAGACAAACAGGATCCCAGTAACCAAACCAGCCAACCAACTAACCAAACAAACAAAAAAACACAACTATGTCTCCAAGTCTTTGCAGATTGGCTCTGTTCTGGGAAACTCTTTTACTACTTATTTAGATTTGTACTGAGCCTAGAATCAGCCTGCAGCGAATGCTTAAGGTGTTCTTGGAGCATGCATCTTTCCTGGGAATGTGCGTGGATTTCTAAATTTCCCCATAAATATATGGATGCTTTTGCAAACCCTAATTTTCAAGAATCTCATCCCAGCTTCTCCTCTGGGCCTTATAGTCGCCTGTGGATCTCCACCACAACCTCTTGCCCTAGTGATCTGGAGAATTATAGTCCATCTTGTAGCTCGTATGAGCAGAGCTCGTCACTTTTCCTGTGTATGTTCTGTGAAACAGAGGAGTGCTTACAGTCAGTCCTTCGGGTATACCACAGACAGGTCAGAACAGAGGTACACGACAGTTTGCAAAGAAGGTGTACTCTGCTCTCTTCAGTTCCAGGGAGTGCCTCAGCATGGCGTCGCTGGCTCGAGGCCAAGACTGACACTGTGCCGGGAAAGGGGCAGGCCAGGGGCAAGCGAAAACACCCTGAAACTCTCCCACCGTTTCGAAGGCGCATTTTTCGCAACGGTTTGGTTGCTGGAAGCCTTTGCTTTCCTGTGGTCTGACCAAGTTGGTTCCATTTCTGGTTGTCTTTTCAGTATTTCTGCAGGGAAAGGAAAGCTTAGAGTTTTTATAGGCCATTGTTTAGCTAGCATCCCTCTTACTCTCAAGTGTTAAGAGACCTTTGTATATTCTGAATACAAGTCCTATATCAGATACTCAATTTGCAATTCCTTTTCTCCTAGTCTGTCTTGTGTTTTCATTCTCTTTACAGTGCCTCTGTAGAACAAGAGTCAAAAACATTTTTTGGGAGGCAGTCTCGCTGTATTGTCCAGGCTGATCCTGAGCTCCTGGCCTTAAGTGATTCTCCCACTTCAATCTCCTGAGTAGCTGGAACTACAGGTATGTGCCACCATACCGCTTATTTTAAAATGTCTTTTAGAGACTGCAAGGTCTTACCCATGTTGGTCTCGAACTCTTGGCCTCAGGCCTCTCAGGTAGCTGGGACAGCAGACATGAGTCACCGCACCAGGCTAAGAGTTTTTAATTTTAATGAAGGCCAACATATCCATTTTTTTTCTTTCATGAATCATTCTTTTAGTGTTATATGTAAAAGCTTACCACCAATTCCAGCTCACAGGTTTCCTGTTTTATTCTAAAAGTTGTCCTGAATTTTACATTTAAGTCTATAATTATGAGTTAATTCTTATTAAGATGTAAGGCCTGAGTTCGAGTTCAGTCCCTCCCTTCTTTTATACATATGGATGGCAATTGTTTCAGCACTAATAGAAGTTTATCCTTCTCCACTGAATTGCTTTTATGCTTTTGTCAAAATTCACTTGATTATATTTGTGTGGATCTATCTGTCCACTGAATAACATGGCTTATTTATTTATTTTGGTCAATACCACACTGTCTTAATAACAACAGATTTATAATAAGATTTGAAATTGAGAAATGTGAGTACTTCAACTTTGTTCTTTTTCAGATTTATTTTTCTTATTGTAGTTTCATGATTTTCCATATAAATTTTAGAATAAGTTTGTTAATAAAAAAACTTCCTGGGAAATAAAATTACTCCATTATTCTCTAACTTAAAGAGAAAGTATCCTATCTCTTCCTGTAAGTATGATGTTAGATTTAGTTTTTTCCTATATGCCTTTTATAAGATCATACCCTCCAATTCCTATTTTTTAAGAGTTTTTTTTTCACAAATAGTGTATTTAGTTAAGTGCATTTTATTCTTCCACTGATATAAGGCTTTTCTTAATGTCTGACAGTGTGATGATTTACATTGATTGATTTATGAGTGTTGAACCAGCTTGTATTTCTGGAGTAAAACCCATTTTGGATATGTTATCCTTTTAATATATTGTTGGATTCAGTCTCCTAACATTTTTAAAGTGTTCATGAGAAATTAGTAGTGTATAGTTTTCTCATTTTCACACATAATACTGGTCTCATGAAATGGTTGAGAATTGTTCTCTCCTCTTTATTTTTCTGGATGAGTTTGTGTAGAATTTGTATTATTTCACTTATCAGCATGTTATAATGACCCAATACATTATCACTGTTATTATTTTCAATTGTATACCAGATATTCTGGGTATCGTATTATGGCTCTGGGTCTTCTTTATCTTCTGTTTTGGTAGGCTCCCTCTACCACCATGGCAGCTGAAGAAGGAGACTCCATTTCTCACTGCCAGGTGAGACTGGGAGTCTAGATTCTCCACTTAGCCTCTGCTGATGGCATAGGGAAGGCATCTGGGCAACTTTTTACTGTTAGTTCGTGGTGAAAGTCCTGGCTCACCACTAGGCTTCATCTGAGATCACCCCATCAGAGAGGTGGAGGAGTACTTTGACACTGTAAGACAAGGGTGTAAGTCAACCTTTGCTGATGGGAGAGGGCTGCAGTTTTTTTCATGGTATTTAGCTAGAGTACAGCAGTTGTCTAAAATTTTCTGACTTTCTGGTTTGTCCCTTTCCTCTTCCTTTATATACAGAAAGCAGGCTTTACTTGGGAATGTTTTTGTCTGTGCCCATTGGTGTTTCTGAGTTGCTGGTTTTCTCCAGCACCCAGGCTCAGATATGTTAGGCAAAAATAAAACCAAGGAAACTGGGCATAATTTCTTGGTATCCAAGGTTCCTAGTCTGTCTGTTTCCTTCTCTCTACTGCTCAAAGTCTTCTTCTTCTTTTTCTTTTCTTTCTTTTTTTTTTTTAAGTTAGGTTCTTACTTTGTTGCTCATACTGGAGTACTTGGCATGATCACAGCTCAATGCAGTCTTGACCTCCTGGCTCAGGTGATCCTTCAGTCTCTTGGGTAGCTGGGACTACAGGTGTATGCCACCACACCCAGCTAATTTTTTAATTTGTTTATAGAGTTGAAGTCTTGCTATTTGCCCAGTCTAGTCTCAAACTCCTGGGCTCAAGCATTCCTCCCGCCGTCTCCCAAAGTACTGGGATTACAGGTGCAAGACAGCAGGTCCAGCCAAAGTCTTATGTGTGTTTTGCATATAATGTTTAATGGTTTTAGCTGTACTTAAGGGGAAGAATGGGGAGAAGTGTCTGTAATCGATCTTATCTGTAACTGTCAGTCTCCAACATTTTCACATTTAAGGACTGCTGTTTAAATTGTGTGATTTTCCAATATTCAAAACATGTATTTAGTTCAAAATGCAAATTGTATAAAATGGTGTATTTAAATTTGCACT